TTTCTTTCATTAATGACTTTGTATTAGACATGTGTTTCTTTTTTCTATGTAACGGTTGTGACCCTATGATAATGAGATGTGTCTAAGGTGACTTTGTGATGAGACTTAATTCTTCTTATGTTTTATAAAAGAGTTTTCTTATTGACTTTATTGTGAAAAGTTTTAATTCCGCACTACTTTTCATAATTATATAATAAATGAATGCTAAGAGCTTGTATAAGACCTCCGAGAGGTCGAATACGTTGTGTGACGCCTAGGGGGTACTCCCGGGTCGTTACACCAAATAGCAGCTCAAACGATCCATTGTTTTCTCTACTAAATAGTAAAACATCATTCTCAAAATTGAGTTGCATAATATGCATTCTCTCACATTTGGGTGGAAATTTGAGTCAAATCATGCTCAACGTGCAAAATCAGAATCACAATGAACAATAACACTTGAAATCACAAGCAAAATAAATAGGCTCATTGCATGAGATTATCAATATAATGTCATTTCATATCATTTTCTAGATTTTTCCCGGTATACATTAGAACGGTGATCCTATAAAACAGTAGACAAGCATACAATCACCACCTATCGTAGGTAACATTCTAGGCAATCCCTCATCATTACCAAATTTATTCACAAATACTTTCCCAAGGAAAAGCCAGCCATACCATTAAACAATCACCATTAGTTAACAACCGTTATCAACCTAACCTCCTTAACCATAAGCTTAATCGTCCAGAATCTCTGCCCGAATCATATGCAAGTAACCAACAAAAATTCATAGGATATAATATCATAAAAATGAATTTAACTACTCAGTTAAAGAAGATCTATCCTATCTAGACGTCATGTATCAACTAATGAACCTTGACCATAAGTTTTCAACTCTGCGAGATTCAACCGTGATGAACAAGCACCGAAATTTCTTAGGACTCACCTACCTTGTGCTATAATTCTTTCACTTCATTGCCCCCTTTACCGAGTGCTTTTGGAGGATTTATGGAGCAACCGTCATCTATTTTCTCCTTTCAAAAAGTGAAAGAAAAATAAAAGAGATCGCATTAACTAGAGTCTAATTTTTTGTTAGCCTGCTATAGTGGTCATGAAGTCACTATAACGGTGTCGCCATAGAGGGAGGCTTCCCTCTATGGTGGATTGATGGCAGATGGCCATCAATTACTAAATAAGTCAATTAATCAATTTCTTCGTGTGTTTCAAAATTTAAATTTGACATCGTATCTTCAAAATTTTAGGATTTTGTACGAGGAGATCTAAAATAACGATAAATGAATTTGTTATATTAAAGTTTTGAATATAAAGCCAAATGATCAAGATATGAGCATAAAACTTATAAATTAAATATTTCAAAGATTTTGCTAAAGCAGAAAATATTGAAAGACAAATAGAACAAGATAATAATTTAATCAAATGAATATTCTGTATTAATGAAAGACCGCAATGATAAAAAAACTTTAAAATGAAGAAGGTAAATTTACGAATAAATTCATATTTTACATTTTTTTTACAAAGCTTAAGTTTAAGTCTATCTTATCCAAAACGACAATAGGGTGAGAGACATATAACTTTGATTCACCTCCTCTAAATATGAGATGACTAAGATACCAACATCATAATTTTTGAAAGCCTCTCTTCAATATAAGACATTTAAATATATTGAATCTTAAGTCGTAAAGTATAATTGTGTAATGCTAACCCTGAATTGAAATCAATAGAACTAGAGCTTATTACTATGATAGCAATCATTCAAAAGAAATCAAATTTAAAAAGGTACTAAATTTTTGTGCTTTTTAGTAGATCTTAAAAGATGCAAAAGATTTGTCGGTTAGTCTAAAATGCAATATCATAAAAACCTAATATATGAGCACAATATATGAATGTCTGAACAAATATGTCCTTTTATTAAAATCCCAAAAATGTACACAAAAATTTTGAGATGCATTATACATATATAAAAAAAAACTCAAAAAGGACAGCAAGGTATAAAAATATATCACTTATGTCCTAAGAAAGATAAGTTTTTCAAGTTGAAGAGACACTTTGATACACTTGCAGCCCATAAAATTGCCGAAATGAGAGAAAGTTTGAATATATGCTTATTGAATAATTTTACGTATGTCAAAAATTTAACAAGACAAATATCACAACAAAGGTGATATTAAGTTTCAAAGCTCAAGGAAAGCACTAGTTGCAAGAGATAAACTATGTTGGCCTAAAGAAAGTGGTGGACTAAATTTTCAGAATATGTATACATGGAACAAAGCTGCAATTGAAAAGTTGTTGTCGAACTTGTGCAAAAACAAAGAGAAATTGTGGGTGGTTTGAACACATAGTTACTATGAATAAAATGATGTACGAAATATACAAGCCCAATAGACTTCCTAGGTAGTGTAGAGGATTTTGAAGACAACAAAACATCTACAAGAGGCAGACATTACTAAAGTAGATATGAGGAGTATAACACATACAACATAAGCAATTATATGCAAATGAGAGGTACAAAGGAGAAGGTAGGATGAAGATCACTAGTATGGACAAACTATGGTTCTCCTAAATGAATTTTCATCATGTATCTAGTAGTACAAAGAAGACTTGTTGCAACTAAGAATAGATTGGCGAAATGGGGAGTAATGCAAGGTTTATCATGTCCTCTATGTCAGTTAGTTAATGAAGATCAGGACCATACATTTTTCCATTGTGCTTATGCAACAGAGGTATGAAGAAGTATTCTACAGTCATGAGTAGACCCACGTGAACTTCAGGGGACTCATTTGAACCCCCTTGAAAATAAATAATTTTCTACCCCTTTTCGTCCTACGTGGCACTATCTTATGGGCCTGGCATATGTTGATTTTTTTTCAAACTGGTGCCACGTAGGCCGAAAAGGGGTAGAAAATTATTTATAAAACAAGTTCATGAGGTAATAGGAGCTTAATATAGTATAAGTGTGTCTCTGAGATTTCAGGCATAGGTTGAAGGGGTACTTATGCATTTTTCCTTTTAGAACACATAACCAGTGACATGAAGCTTAATTTAAGGGGGACTTGCCACTGCACCATCAGTTTCTCCTTGTTATTTAGGGGGTTAAAATATATATATATATATATATATATATATATATATATATATATAAATACTTAAAATTTATCTTGTATAAGTTCAGGAGGTAATAGGACCTTAGTATAGTATAAGTGTGTCTCTGGGATTTCGGGCATAAGTTGAGGGGGTACTTGTCCATTATCTTTTTTTTTTTAAAAATAAAATTTAGTTCTGTTTTTCAAGCTTATTTACACATCTATACTTTTATTTTTCGAACTCCCTGAACAAAAATTCTAGCTCGCCATTGTCTACAGAGGCAAGAAATAAGACGGAATGTAATGAATTGGACTGATTAAGTACAATGGAGAAATGCAGTACATGAAAGACAAAAGCAGCAGGGCTATATTGTACAGAATGGCAATGACAAAATACAGTTTATCATATATGGTTAGAGCGTAATGCTAGAATATTCAAACAACAACAAAAACGAGAAAAGATATACCAATAGAAGAAAAAAAAGTCGACAATAAAGGAAATAACTCCTCTTTTGTTGTGAAAAACATGATAAGAAGAATAAGGAATGAAGAAATTTTTGAAAGAAAAAAGTAATGAAACAAAAAAAATATATTTATAGTGGATGAAATAAAATGCGAAAAGAAACTTAAAAAATAATAAAAAGAAAATAAGTAGATATTCTCAGTCAAATCTTATGATGCGTCAAAAGAAAGCAAAAAGAAAAAAAAAAGATTAAAAATTGAATCTCCACTAGGAGAACCCATTATATGTCACCACTTGTTTTTGAAAAGATTTGAACATGTGACCTATGTTAGAATCATTAATTAGATGAGTCACTTCAATACCTTTTATAGAAAGATTCAATTCAAAACAAAGTAAAAATCTAAAATTTTTGTTGAGTGAAAAAGAACATTGTTTACATTCACCAGACGAAGAAAGAATTTGATACAAAAAACATGGATACTATATATATATGATCAATATAAATTTCACGAACGTGTTAAACAATAATACGTAAAAATAAGCACAAGTAACGTTATTATATCAGAAACCGATAATACTCACTTCTTTGAATTATGATTGAATCAAGCCCGAACATATAGAGCATTATCGTCAAAAGACATTCGTTGTTATGTAACTATTTTAGAAGCATCGCCGAGCGTTGCTCTTTTCACTCTAAAATATCATTTGATAAGTTAATTAACATAAGTTAATAGAATATGATATAGCCATTATATCTTAATGATTCTTACCTATAAAAAGATATATCTTCACATTGTAATCAATAAAGTTTGAGTACATTCTTACAACTATATTATTTGGTTATTTTATCATTTAGATAGAATTCGTTTACTATTTTTTCAAACTTACATATAAGTTGAATTATATTTTTTAGAGGTAAATAATGAAGAGTTCAAATAGAGAAAGAAAGTAAAATATAAACAACAAGGGAATATCTCAACAATCATGAAATTGAAAAACAAAACTGACATAAATGAGAAGAACTCAATAAATTCTGAAAAACCTACTTAAGTCTTTTAGAAAGAATAGACTCAGATAAATGAACAAAAACGTAACAAATTCAATTATAGATTAAAATAAACGTAATAAACTCAATTACCATGTTAATCTTGATTCTCATTCACTCTTCTATGATAGTAAATAATCAGGATAATAACCTTTTAGATGATACTCATATCTTATTGGACATAACATTAATTTATTATTATTAACATAAATAATTGTTTAACCATTGTTTATTAGAGATACTTGTCAAAATGATTGGTCAATTAGGCATCTAGTATCTTTTTGAGCTTGCAAGGCACTTGTCCAGCAGGATGACACTTATGGTTGTTAACTACAATACTCAAATATTGATTAAAAAAAGTTTAAAAAGTAAAATAAAAGAGAAGTTGGAGATTTTTTTATGTTGAAAAAAATTGAAGTAAAATACTAGCAAACCACAAACACAAAAAAAGGGAATAAAAAGGGATGGCCTTTGTCCAAAATTTGTAAACCTATCGTCTCTGAAAGAACTCAAAAAGGGGGCTTTGGATTTGAAGAAAAAGTGAAGTAAAAAGTTGTCCAGAAACTCAAAAAGTTGTTTTTTGCTAGTTGTGGCAAAAATCAAGAATGCTAACTTCTTCATTGAGGCTTCCTTTTTTGCCTCTTCCTCACTCTCATCCTGTATTTTCCCCTTTGAATTTCACTAAAGTTGTTCACTTTAACAACCCCAATTGTCCACTCAATCCTATTTCATCTTCCAAAAGATGTGGTTCAACAAGTTCATCTTCCAATGGACATACGGTATTGCTATTTTTCTCTCTGTGTTAATAGCTAAAATGGGGTTTTAATTTTTGTACTTCTGCTTGCAATTGACTTTGTGGTAATGGGGAAAATGGGTTATTGAAAAATTTGGCTTTTGATGGGAGGATAGGTCAAGACTTCTTAATAGCTAAAATGCATATGCTGGGTTTTAATTTTTGAACTTCTCGTTGCTATTGACTTTGTGAAAATTGAAAAAAAAATGGATTCTTGAAAAATTTGGTGTTTGATGGGAGGAAAGATCAAAACTTTATTGTTGTTCTGACTTGTCCAGAAAAAAAAAGGGATATGATGTTCTCCCTTTACTTGGGGTTTGTGTGTTGTAGTGTTAGATAACTATCTCTTGCTGCTGTGTTGGTGACTGGTTATGCTTTCTATGTAATATATAGAAAATTAACTTTCTTTTATCAGAAAAAACAATTGTTTCTGGATTTGAAACAAGCAATTGTATGCTTTTATCATGGTTGATTAATGTCATTTAAGTAGGTTTGGGGGCTTTTGTCAGAAAGAAAGAAGTTTCCCCATTTCATCTTGTTTGTCGTCTTTTTTCTTCTTTTCGTTTTAGGACAAATGGCTTAGTCATTCCTGTTGTATTGGTCTTTCAATTGTCAAACTGGAAATTGAAGTTGTTAGAGAAAAACCACTTGGTTAGAATGAGTGGAACAAGTTTGCGTATCCTACTACTACTGACAACGGTCTTAAGTTGCTCGGACTCTTCACTTTTGGTGTCGCATCTGGGTCGACAGACGTGGGTGTGGGATCCGTACCCGATTTGATCAGTCAGTTTTGGGTACTTAGACCAAATTCGAGGAAGAAATTCTGGTCAGATTCAATAATTTCTATAACTAAAACAAAAACTAAGGTGAAATTGAAGAAAATGGAATACCTTGTATATATAAATTTCTTTTGTCACTCCCTTTCCTTTTTTATCTCCTTCCAAGATTCTCGTCTTGATCAATATTTCTCCTTAAGTTCCACATAATATCTCATAATTTTGTTTTTATAACTTTGTTTTTAGATATTTGAATTATTTTTAGGAAGTTGCTCGGACTAGGGTGTGTGTGTCCGATACGGGTGTGATACTAGAGGTAGGATTCTTCATGATTTAATTTTTAAGATTTAGGGATATGGATCTATATGTTTGCAGGGATTCGCCTATAAATAATTAAAATATCTTAAAATCGAGTTAATAAACCTAAATTTGAGATATAATGTGGAGAACCTATAAATAATTAAAATATCTTAAAATCGAGTTATAAAACCGAAGTTGAGATATAATGTGGAGAATTTGAGTTGAATCCTGAAGGAGATTAAAGGAAAAGGAGTGACATAGAAATTTCTATATAAGAAGTATTCCATTTTATTCAATTTCTCCTTAGCTTTTGTATTGATTACAAAAATCATTAAAACTGTCCGATTTTTCCCCATCGATTTTGGTCAAAGTTACCCAAAATCGGTTGACCAAATTCAACACGTATCCTGCACCCATGTCGTGTCGACACGGGTGCAACACCAAAAGTGAAAAGTCCAAGCAACTTAGTTTTTTAGCCAAATATTGACAGCCGTATCTATGCATGGATTTGTATCCCCAAATCTCAAAATTTAGATCATGAAGGATCTGACCTCTAGATGCGCACCCATATTGGACATCCACACGGACCGCACCTGAGTCCAAGCAACTTATCACATCACCTATGGCATGTTTGGATATTCTTTAGCTCTAGCCTCAAATTGTTGAGCTTTATTAGGCTGCATAAATTTTCAGTAACTGCCAACCACACAAACTATAGGCTCTCATTATAATGCATTTTCATGCATCAGTTGGTTTTCACTTATGATTTACTGCCAGGGGCCTCTGTTTTCTGTGTGCTGGTATAGTGGCCAGATGGAGATGCTGAAAGATATTGCAGCAATGATAATTTGAGGAAAGAAGATGATTATGCAATTCAGATGTTTGGTTCTGATGAAGAACTCAGCTCTCAGATTCCAACTCAAGTTCAGACTCTTGTTGAAGGCTCAGGATCAGTTTTGGTGTCAGAGTATAAGCCAGTTCCGGATGTGGACTATCTGCAGGTTTGACTTCTTTCTTTTTACCCTTCGATTAAGGACGTTGTATTATATTCCCTCCATTCCGAAATAAATGAATTATTGGGGTATGACACATCCCTTAAGAAAGTCAATGAAAGACATTGGTTAAAAGGTAACTTGTCAATATCACCCCTTTGCTTCTTCCCAAACTTTTCTTAAAACTAGAGATAGTCGATGAAGAACCCATTAAAATGAAGGGTCATTTTGGAAATAAATAAGTAATACATCTTTGAACTTCGAAAAATCCATTCATTTTGGACAATTAAAAAAGTGCCAGAAATTTACTTATATTGGAATGGAGGGAGTACTTGTATCAAATGGGAACTGCAATGACATTTAGGAGTATATTGCTTGTTTTACCCCTCCTCCTTTGGATATTTATTACCTGCAATAGTCCACTTCAATATTATTTGAGTGATCATCTTCCATTTGGCATTTAACATCTTTAGTTAAGTAAACGAATATGATAGATCAGATCAATAATTTTCTACTAAATTACTAGTTACTTCTAATTATGGTTGGGTTACTATGTTTTTGTTTTGATGGATCAAAATTTTAGATTGGACTTGCACTTTTCCTTAACTCTGCTAATTCCTTAGTGATTCAACCTCTGGTCTATGTAATCTTGGGAAGGAGCGTCTTGGGTAGCCATCTATAAGTCATTCTTTGTTAGGTGTTTTCTGAAACTGCATTGAAAACCTGAGAGTATGAGAAAGAACTAATATGTCAAATTGTTGCTGGCAAGCAGTCTAAGCTATTTGGCTGGCCAATTCAAGTGTCACTTTGAGCCAACAAAATCGTCTAGTTTGATGTATCTGATGTGTCTATGAATGTACTTATCAGATGTGTCTGAATGTAAATAAGAGAGATTGCTCCTTTCTTGTTTTCAGGAGTTGTTAGCTATTCAACAACAAGGTCCAAGAAATATTGGCTTTTTTGGGACACGAAACATGGGATTTATGCATCAAGAACTTATTGAGATTCTAAGCTATGCCTTGGTCATTACGGTATGATTCTCTTGTCTTAGTTAAAGCCTGAAGGAGATAGTGAATTAATGACTTCGAGCGTTTCAATGTTTCTTCAACTTCTTTTTTTTCCAGAAAAATCACATCTTTACTTCTGGAGCAGCAGGCACCAATGCTGCTGTCATAAGAGGTGCTCTTCGTGCTGAGAAACCGGAGCTGCTAACAGTGATATTGCCACAGAGCTTGGAAAAACAACCTCCGGAAAGTCAGGAGTTATTGTCAAAAGTAAATGCATTTACATTTTGTTTTTGGTTGCATCTATTCATAAAATTGTGCTTCATTGTGACAGGAATGACACTATTGTTATCTTTCCATTAAAGAAAAGAAAAGAACCGTCATTTGTGGTATCACAAAACAAATTTGCGAAAAAGAATATATCATCTTTGTTGTTCCTCGTTCAAATGTTTTTTTTCTCTCTCTTCCCCTGTTATGAACAACCACAGTCGTTGCATTGTGTCTCGTGGATTTAACCATCTTTGAAAGAGTCTTCCTCTTTTTTTGATGTTTTTTTGGGTTTAAATTGTTTGATATGGAGAGAGAACATTTCTTTTAAATATGTTTTGCTTCTTACTATCCCAGAAAATAAGTCTTCCTCCTCTTGTGTATTCCTTTCTTAAGTAGAAGGAATCATTCGTAAGAGCTGCAATCTCTGATCTTCTCTTTGACTACATGTACTGTTTAATAATCAAATTGTTATATACTGAAACATTTGGAGTCAACATCTCTTGGAATATTTTATTTCAGAGGCTAAATTACTGAAGGTGTTGACCTTAAAGTCAATGGGCATACATACTATTGTGCATCTTATTAAACTTCTTAAGAGTTGATACAAACTGCATTTGTGTGTATTTATTTTATTTCGGTACAAACAGGAACTTCAAAAATTAGTTGGAACAGCCTGTGGCACCATCTACCATTAGGTCTTTTAATTTTAAAATTTTACTTGTAGTTCTTTATATTGCTAAGCAAGACGAGTAAGGAGTTGCAAGAGTTAGTTTCCTACGTTTTGTTTGTTTAGCTAATTTCATATATTCACCATACAACCAACAACACCTGAGTTCTAAACTAGTCAGGGTCAGTTATATGTATCATTAGTTACCATCTGACTCTTTCTGAAGTCTATTTCATTCAAATACTATATGATTTGACTTTGAAGGAAATTCGGGTTCTCTTAAGCCTAAAGCTATTTCTCTCACCGACACCCTTATTACTACACAGATGCACAAGTTTCTAACTTTGGCATCTCCGGACGTAGCATTAGTGTAACAATGAGAATTAAGTGTTGTCCCAACTAGTTGGTATTATATATACGGATCATTTCAATCCACTATGTTGTGTTCTTAGTAAGTCGGAATTTTTTGAAAACATTATAGGTCTGTGAGACACTTTCTTGATGTGATTTTCATTATAGGCCTAACACATCTTTTATCATCTTCGATCATCAGTATCAGACCTATGAGCCGGTGCTTGTGGAGGCTTACATAGGACACGGCGAAACCGCCTCATGTTGCATTCTCGCATTTTATCCTTTGTGTGTGTGCTATAACCCTTTGTTTGATGTTATCATTTCTAATCTTGACCAATCTTTTGTGAGAACATCCATCTTTACATAAGGGATTGTACGATATACATCGTGTGGATGCATTGAGTGCTAATATTTCTGGTCTTACAACTGTTATGTAGACAGTACCTTTTACACCGTTTGGTGTTTTTTCATCCCATGCTCTGTAAGTAAGCACTTGTCTGTTTTAGCTATCATCTTGTAATTCGTGTGTTACATCTTTTCTATCATGCTATTCTTTTGGAAGGCTGAGCTTAGATATTTGAATTGTATACAGTTATGCATCATAATCCTGTTTAATTTCACTATACCTTTTTTATTTTTATGGGGAGCTAAACTTACGACATATATATTGTCTTACTTTTAGGTTTTTTTGATAAGGTAAATAACTTGATTGGGAGAACCCCGTGTACAAGCCCTATACCAAAATGAAAAGAACCTACACCTATGTCTTACTTTTAGTTGTCCTAAGAACCTTTCTCCTCAAAGTGCTTCTTGGCAATTCCAAGTTCTGGTTGAGTTTCTCACCAGTTTCTTCCATCGAAAATTTCACTGTGGAATCTTATCCTTCATATTATAGATTACCCACCCTATTTAGGTAACAAGTATAGATTTGAGCCAAGTCCCTAGTATACACCTACAGTAATGGCAAACTCCTTAATATCTCATTATATTGATCCTTCACTTGTGACTGCTCTCTTGTACATGTGTTTTATGAAATTATATGTTTGATTTGAATTTCTTTCTTCTCAATCATCCATTAACAAACTATTTCTTGATGCTAATACCATTTGAGGATCCTTCTTTCTTTTTCTATAAGTTTTCATCTATCTTTATAGCAAAATTTAGTTTATTGTGGATCTAACAGCCAGTAGCAAAACTATCCTTCTGTCACCCTTCGCATTGTCTCTTTATCTTGCTTTTTTCTTGTACGACTCATAAGTTTAATACCATGTAGTTTGCAAAACTTTGAAAATCTTCTTTGTTCTTACTCTCTTTATTCTATTTTATCTGATCTCATTTTTTTAGTCTAATTTGAAAAATAACACCTTTCTTTCTATATTTGGAAATGATTTACTTTAGGCATCCTATTTTACTTTCAATGATATGATTTTATAGCCACACAGATGTGATGGCATGTTTGATGCCACAAGTTTCAAAAGTCTATATGTGGTAGCTTTCCACATTTAATGTACATAACCACTTCAAGAACTTCCAAGCCTCTATAGGGATACCATCCGACATGCTTTTCTACTCCAACATTTTCATGGCATCCTTTACTGTAGAACTAATTGTACGAGTGTAACTAAGGTTTCTATATGTCAAGGACCTATGAAGGTCTGTAAAGTTATCCTTGTCATTTGTGTTGAGTGATTGATCTATCTCGTTGTTATAAGTTGAATGCTAGATTTTCAATGTATAGTTGCATCCTTTTCCATATAGATCTAACATATTATGTTAGTATTACCACATTCTTATTTAAGCTAAAAGTCCAGTTGAATTGAAATTTTCTCTAGGTTCAAACTTCTATCGAAGCAAGTTTTGTATCTCTATAACCCTCAATTAAGATTTGTCATCAAATGGCTTCTGGTTAGGTTCTGAAAATTAAAATGCACTTCTTCTGTTGCTCTTTTAGTGGACATGAATATTGGATACCCAGAAGTTTTTGACAAGGGAAACGTCTAAGATGCCATTTTAAAGATCTGAATGATGGAGTTTTGAAATTATTTAGTCTTCTAAATTTTGTGTTTTGAATAAGAAAGTAACATGTATACTTAAGATGGCTTGCTAATATGACTCATGATGGATTCCAAGTTTCAAGAGAGGAGGAACCAAGGCTTCTTCCGCTTTAAACAACCACTTTATAATGACTTCTGATTGAATGTACAGGCTGAATTTGGTCTCCGTCAGTAATTTATAACTCATTAAGAAGAGTTCAATCTTCATGTTGATTTCCACCAAGTTTGTTTGTGAAATGCAACAATAGTGCAGTAGTTAGTAGCACTTCCAAACGGTATTATAATGTTAACTTTCTTGGATTTGCAGGTGAAACATGTGATAGAGAAACCTCACAATGACCATCTCTCACTGCTAGAAGCTAGCAGGTACGAAAAGAGCATCTCTTTTGAATGAATTGAGTATACAATCTCCATTTCAAGTTGAACCAGTTCCTTTGTATGTTTTAGCAGGAAAACATGAATATCTGATGTCTTGTACACTTTTCAATAGTCATTCTTCCATTTTGTAGTCAAGTTGATTTGTTACTTGGCAGAAACTGCTTTTTATGATATGAAGTTCCCTGTCTGGGTACAGAACTGTGTAGAAGTGACGTGCTGAAATGAAATATCATGATACGACATAACCTAGTTATGTTCTAGATGTTCTACTTCCTATTTTTTGTAAAAATGGAACTAGTTCTGAATGTGCTTTTTATCATCATACTTCATAACATAGGAGTGCATTGTCTTGTTGTCCGTCCATGCTAGTAGTTGTAGTATTTCTCTTATAGTTTCTTGTCCTTTGATTTCTCTACCTATTTGTTGTTTCTTGTACTTCGACTATCGTATTATTTTGTCGTAGACCTATTTGTTACTATATGTTGTTTCTTGTACTTCAGTTTTTTCTGAACTGCTTTGATCTGTTTTTTTTCTTTTTGAGCTGAGGGTCTCCGGAAAACAACCTCTCTACCTCTGAGGTAGGGGTAAGGTTTAGGTACACTCTACCCTTTCTAGACCCCACTTTGTGGAACTACACGGGGAATGTATATGTGTTGTCATATTGGGTCTTGCTGTATCCGTGGTGATTTCTAACGGGTGGTTGATCCCCTTTGAATTGGTTTTGCTGGTAATGTAGGCTGTGTAACATGGACATCATTTCGCAAGTGCAGCAAGTTATTTGCTTTGCCTTTCATGATAGCAGATTGCTTATGGAAACATGTCAAGAAGCCAAGAATCTTAGGAAGATTGTTACTCTTTTTTACTTGGACTAATGAATAGCAGCAACTTGTGTTTATAGATTCTTTGCTATTGAATATGTTCTTTGTTGATTAAGGGGGGAATTTATACACATGCTATGAAGAATACTGCAATGCAGAAATGTTGTTCATACTCATGCCATAGAGGTTAGATGTTTGTCTCGTCGATTTCGACATGATTTATACATGTATTTATTTTTGCATGAGGTGCAATGCTTCCTTGTATTTCTACATATATCTTGCTTTACTTGGTTGAACAACTATATGTTTTGTCTGGTAATGTAAAGCCAAGTTCATCTATATGTCAATCTACTAAAGTATAATTTGTCGGTAGAATGACTTGGAAGACCCTTGAACTTGACGGATTCAGTTGGATCCTCTTACTTGATCTCTCCATAAAACCTTCTTTTCCTTCTCTAATTTTCACACTAGAACCACAAATTTCAAGAAACACTCAAAAGGTAAGGGGCATATAAAATTGAACTGAAAATTGAGCAATATTGTAAATAGAGTCAAATCGGGAAAAAAAAATATGATTAATGGTTTACTTGGTTTTGGTATTGAAAAGAAAACATGACTATATTGGGGTTGGTTTGGTTATAATTACAAAAACTCAACTTGAGATTATATATATGATTTTAAAAAATTTTTATATATAAAAATATTTACTTTGATAAAATTTCTAAATATTCCTTATACTTCTTTTAGCATTTTGATATAAGTTCAAGTTTTTGAGATTTAGAATTTTGAATGGTCCAATAAAAGTTATTGTCCATAGATATTGATAATTTTAATAAAGCTTAAATCAAAATCAAATTAATACTAATGTTAATAAAAGAATTAATTCAATACTAGAAATGACAATATTGTTGAATATTGATTTTTTATTTTTATATTGATTTAGACATTTAAATTAGGGAAAATTTCATGGCAAACTTATTAGATTAAATAACATTATATGGGTATAGTTTACCTAATTACATAATATGGGTATAGTTAAGTTATTAAAGGTGTCTTTAATTTTGTATATAATTTTTTTTATTATTTATACAATTCTATTTTAAAAAGTTGTTTGTAACTGAATCATTAAATATGGTAACAATAAATGAAGATAATGCCACAAATTTAGGGAAACGTCGCTATTTTCAAGCCAAACGTTCAAATTCAAAAAAATAATTTCATACAGCCATTGAAACAAAACAATAATTATTTTTTTTTGCTCTTTGTGAAACTGAAGTTCAGCAATTTTGTCAATCGAATACAGGTAAGTTTTTATTCAATGAAATTTCTCGTTTATTGGTTTTAGAATTTGTGAATTGTTTTCGATTGTTTATTTTTTTTAAAAAAAAATCAAAATATGATTTTGTTAAGCTGAATTTGCGTTCATTCGTTAGTGTGAGATGTTTTTATTTTTTTAAAAAAATTCAAAATATGATTTTGTTAAGCTGAAAATTTGCAGTATACAATATTGTATATACTGTTCATGCAATTGTATATGTGATTCGCAGTATTTGTATATTTTGAAAGCGTCAATATTAATATCAGTGTTCATAATTGTATAAATTCATAAATTATGTGTTTTATTTTTGATAGAATTATATATTATTGTAGATGTAGTTTTTGTATATTAAAAAGAATAATAATATAAAAACTCTATGTCATACGATTTATTTTGGGAAGAAGTATACACTATTGTAGATGTAGTGTTTGTATATTAAAAATACTAACAGTATAAAATTTCAATAATTTGATTGTTTAAAAATTGTTGTATTAATTGTATATATGATCTCATTGAATTATTTGAAATATATATAAATATTCTTTTTCATAAATGTACAGATAATGGGCTCATTAGCTATTTTGGTTATGCATTCTGGAAAATGGGACGATACAAATTGTTACGTTGATTATACTATAGAGGGAGTAGTTTTTAAGGAACAGTCAACGTTTCTAGATTTTTATACAACTATTGCAAAACAGATTGGTGTTGATATGAATAATAAGACTTTGAAGATTGAGTACAAGGTTGAAGAAAGCAATAAACGAATGGTTATACACAATGACATGGGTGTCAGAGTGTACGTAATGCTAAAAAAGGCCAACATTGATTTTAACAAATTTCCTATTTGTATAACTATTTTGGATTCATGTGATAGACAGATTTCTCAGTATAAAGAGATGGGGGTGTTGGCAACTGTTGCAGAAAATGATTGTCATGATATGATTGTTGTTGAACCGGAGGATACAAATGTTGCATTTTTATCGATTGATACAACTTGGGTGATTTCAGACGAATCTAATAAGCATGTTGAGGTTGATCAAGTATACAAGGACAAATCAATTTTGAAAGCAGTCATGGAAAGATATGCGATTAAAGAGAGATTTCAGTATAAAACTACTCGGTCAAATTCAATAAGGTAGTGTGCCTCTCAAATAGTGACTTTTAAACT